ATAGGGATGGGCAACTTAGACATTGGATACCTAAAATGAGGGGGCAATAATGGCATGAAGTGACTGGCTTACAAGTTTTCAAAAGGGACTATAGTTTAAAAGTGGGATGGGTGGGGCTTGATGGCAAATGGGGTATAGGTGCAATGTAGTTAGCCATCAGCAATACCACAGAATACCAGGTGAAGAGGGTTCAGGGCAGAGCTCCAAAAACTCTGAACCAAATAGGTAGGAATATTTTAAAAGTTTTAAGGCTTATAGCTACTGCAACTTGTAGCAGAAGTAAGAAATCACATACTTTTTAATCTGCCGGGTTTGGCAGCCCACAGCTGACGACTTGGGTGAGACCAAATGGCAAAACCAAGAGGCAGAACAGATCTGCCATGGAATAACATCACAGGAACCTCAGAACAATACACTCTGTCAGTTTTGCTTGGTTCTGATTTTTTTTTTTTTTTGTATCTGTTCATTGCCCCCCCACTGTTTGCATACCTTCATTCTGGTGACTAAAGGGGGAGCCTGAATGGACAACCCCATACCCACCACTGGTGGATTCTTCTGCCATGCATTTGCACAGATACTCTCAACCCAAGAGCCGGCCCTGAACTGTTTTTTAATAGCAAAAAGGCCAGAACAAGGAGGGTGGAGAGGGAAAGAGAGTTTAAAAACAAGACAGTCTGAAATTTTAATTAATTTCTGAGGTAAACCATAACAACCAACAGTGGAATTGTGAAATTTATCATTCGGCTTTGAAGGCAAGAAGTTGAAAGAGGACATTAAAGTCATACTCATATTAGGCTACAGATTATTTTTTTTTCTTCTCTCCCTCCTCTCCCTTTTCAGCGATTATAGACTACAGTATCCAATCTAGTTTTTGTTGTTTTTTATTTTGTTTTTTGGTATTTTTGTTTTTTTTCTTGTTTGTTTGTTTTTTTCCTGTTGCTGTTTTATGCTTCCCCTTTTGCATTTGGGGGACTCTTTCTCTCCCTGTAGTACCCAAGAAGAGACAGCAACTG